AAAGCAGATACTTGAAGTGAGGTGTCAATGACCAACAGAGATGCCCACTGCCTTCTCTCTCAGAGAGATAAGACCGACATCATAACAATGGTCTTTTCCAACTGTGAGATTCACAACTTGTAGGGACAAGGTAGAGGTCTGTGGGCCTGCTAGGTACGGAGGCGGGCACAGACTCCAACGTTCAGTGCTTGCTGGGCAGTTGGATGAAATCACAGCAGGTAGGCAGCCACCTACCCTACCAACACTGTCCACATGTGGGGTGGGGAAAGAGTAAGCTCAGCTGTAGCATTTGATCCTTGGGGCGAGGAGCCAGGGCAGCTTCCTGGGAAACCTGACAAGATCCTGGTAGGAGTGCCTTGAGAGCTTCTTGCAGTCAGACTTGCTACCCTCTCTCCTGCCGTTTGGGCCAGGTTGGTTCATCTCAAAGAGTCTGTTCACAGTATCTGCCTGGCAATGGTTTCCCCTGGGCCACCTTGGCTGGCAGCCCCCACTGCTGGAAGCAGTTGATACCTTCCTACTATGTATGATATGGACCCAGATTCATGAAAGACCTCACCACCCTAGACCTGCACCCTTAGCTTCTTCTTGGCAGTTTACAGACATGGGCAGAAGTGTGGTGGATTCGGGTCTGGTTTCTGGATGATGATTGGCTGCTGCAGCCAGAGCGGACAGAGGGCCAGTGAGCCATGGCTTTGGTGATGGCAATCCCTTAGCATGACTGAGATCCCCTACCTGAGGGTGACTGGCTTTTGATTTCAGCCCCTGTGACTAGCTTTCTGGACAAAGTGAGGAATCCCGCCTCTGCCCTTCCCTCCCTTCCTTCCCCTTTGCTCCAGGGTCTGGGGGTGATTGCGCAGCCCCCTGGGACAGAGAGCAGCAGGGCTGGGAGCCGGGAGGGAGGGGCCCCAGAGACTCATGTGGGATTTGGCATAATTCATCTTGGTTCTATAACAAGGTTTTTCCAAACCCAGCTGTGCTTCACTGTCTCCTTTGAGTTCTTTAAAAATGCAGATTCTCTCCTTTTACTATTAAGACTGATTTTCAGTAGGTCAGGGGGCATGGGGAGGTTCCAGGTGTCTGTATTTTAAATGCACCTCAAGTTCACGTTCAGGAATCTGTCTGGTCCCTTCTGCTTTTTCACATCAAGAGATACTGGGTTTTCTTTGCTTTTTTGCTTTTTAAGGGAGCAAACCAGAACCAATCACGTTGTCACTCTGAGGCCTGAGACAAGGAAATTTGAACCCATCAGTCTGTTAACCACCGGAGGTGAATCCTGGGGGGGAACACTTTGTAATTTCAGATACTAAAAATGAATGGTATTATGGATTGACTGTTAACAGACGCTCTAAGATGGTTATGATTCCCCAGGGTGAAATCAGTAAACATTCTTCCAACTTAAGCTGCAGGGGACAGGCAATCTCACAAAGAGATGCCTTCTCCATTTTTATGAGACATCCATATGCAAAAGAGCTTGTATCAGGCATCATGTTTGTTGGACAGGGGGCCTGAGTCGGAGACCTGGGAAAGGGAGTTAGGGCTATGACCTGTCTCAAAACAGTCCTTATTTTGAGACAGGGGAAGGTCAATGTCAAGGTCATTTACTTTCTTGAGGGCAGAGAGGAGAGACAGGGATGGCTCTTGGAGGTAGCCTTTGAGAACACTGCATGCGCTGGGTGCACCTGATTCTAAATTAAACTGGATGGGAAGAGGCCTGTGTGGAATCAATTAGACTCAGAAATCAAATGAGGCTGAGTGAGTGGATGGAAAGAGGCACTGTTGTGCGTTGAATTGTATTCCCCCAGGAAAAGACAAGTTGAATTCCTCACCCCAGTACCTCAGAATGTGACCTTATTGAGAAATAGAGTCTTTATAGAAGTAATCAAGTTATAATGACATCATTGGGGTGGGCCTTAATCCAGAATGACTGGGGTCCTTAGAAAAATGGAACAGTTAGACACAGGGAGAACACCATCTGGAGGTGGAGGCAGAAATTGGGGTGATGCATCTACAATGCAAAGAGCATCAGATATTGCCAGCAAACCCAGAAGCTAAGGTGATGTATGGGACAGCCCTCAGAAGGAGCCAATCCCACTGATGCCTTGAGCTTGGCCTTGTGATCTCCAGAACATTTCCCATTGCTTAAGCCATCCAGGTTGTAGTGCTTTTATGGCAGCCCTGGCAACTCATATGGGCACTCTACCCCTTGTTATGGATCTGAGTTCCACGAGGGCAGGGATTTTATCCTGTTCACATTTCTTTTCAGGGACTGGCACAGAGTAGGTACTCAACAAGTATTTGGCTAAATGAGTGGGTCCTTGGGAGGACCGAGGGCACACAGATAGCAATAGCCACCATTATAAGCACCTGCTAGGCAGACATGGCGCTTGCTGCTTATGAAGGTTATCGCTAGTCCACAACGTAACCTGTAAGGTAGGTCTTATTTTTCTCATGTTCCAGATATGGAAATTGGGGCTGAGAGAGATTAAGGAAATTGTCCAAAGTAACACGGTGAGGAAGTGGTGGACTTGGGATTGCAGCTCAGGCCTGCCTGACTCCCAAGCCCTTGCTCTCATCACTAGCTAGGGCCTTGGCGGACACCAGGAAGGCAGGTAGGGCCAGAGTCACCCAGGGAACAGGCCCCAGTCAGCAGCTCAGAGCCAGGACTCCAGACCCTAGAGAGGGGCACTGGCAGAGCCCACACCTCAGGGCACGCTGCCAGAGCAGGCACTCTAGACAGAAACCTAACTAAACCAGCTGGGGCATGGGGCTGGGGAGAGGCGTGATGGGGGGGGGGGGATGTGCAGGAGCCCTTCATCAGACGTGTATGGATGTGTGTGTGTGTGCGTGCGTATGGCCTAGGGGCTGCCATGACATCGCCAAGGCCTATGCAGAGATCTGGGTGGACCTGCCCTGAATACCAAGAAATACGCACGATAAGAGATTGTGTCTCAAGATGGCTGCTCCATGGCTGCCGGGCCATCAGGAAAGTGGGCACATTTGAGCTTTCTAACCATCAGCCATTCTTTATGCAACTTCCTATGTGAGGTTGACATGACACAGAAGGTCAAGAGACACATTTTTAGAGCTATCTTAAGGACATGTTCCCTGATGTCCCCTTCAAAGCAACTCTGGAGAGAGGCTCTTTCCTTTTTTACTTCCTGCCTGGGAGGGAGCAATTCTTGTTTTGGCCAGATCTGCAGGCTGTCCCACGTACTCTCTAATCCTCAGGAGAGAGGAGTGAGTTCTCAGTCTCTTTTACATGGAGACCCACATTTGGGTGCTATGCCTTTTTTTTCATCATCTTATCACTAGTACCTAGCACAGCATCTGGCCCAGAGTTTCTTCAAAGGATGTTTGTGGAATTAATACAATGAGAAGCATGTTTGGGCTGGGCCTACTAGGACAGTTCATACCATGGACAGAGCTTGCCACATTATAGGGACAGAAGGGCAGGGGACATCTGTGGGTCAGTGGGCTTCCAGGTTGAGGGAATGGCCTTGTTAGAAAGAGGGGATCTTTGCCGGTTCTGTGGCTGGAGACAGAGCGTTCTCTCCCAGTTTGTTCAAACCCACTCAGCCAGCTTTAGCTAAGCCCCTGCGTGAGTCCCTGGGGCTGCTCAGATTCACCTGTCGTCCATTTTTAGTTGTTGTTATTGCTGTTGGTCTCAGAGCAGCGTGAGACAGCTGTGCTTCTAGGACATTATCAGATCTGTGATCTCCCGCAGAGACTGTTTGAAATGCAGGTCCCTAGGTCTTTCCTCTACAAATCTTGACTCAGAAAATCTGGGGAAGGACCCGAGGAATCCCGCTCGCAGGTGATTCTGGAGCAGCAGGTCAGAGGATCGCACTTGGAGAAACTGAGCCCTACATTCCCTCAGACACGGTGAGGGTAGATGAGCTCTCGGGCATCTTTCAGTGGGAAAGGGCTAGTATTCTTTCCAATGGTGCCAAATATAAGCATGAGAAGCTTGCATTTCTAATGTTAAAGGTTTAGCTGATGCTTCACTTTAACCTTGCACGTTGGCCCAGCCGTTTACCTGGTTTCCAGGCAGGTGTGAGAATCACTGCCCACAAAGCAGGAAGGAAGATGATGAATTGGAAAGGACTGGGGCCCACCCACTGTGGAGCTCAGGGTGCCTCCCTGGGCCGACCAGTAGATCAAAGGGATGATAATGGAGGGGAATGTGCATACTTTTCTGACGCTAGCTCCCCGGGGTAGGTGCTTTCTTTTTTGTCATGAAATAACATGAAAAGAGGAAACCCATGGCTTTGCACTGCTTCCTGTGGTGGAACATTCCAGAGATGCGAAGTCTCTGCTGTGTCCTCCCAGTCCTCCCACTGTGTGCTGATGACATGAGATGAGAGAAGGTGCTGGCTCTTCCTGGAAAAGCAGTCGATACTGAAGGTGACTCAGGCACGTGGGTCCTGTTACCCACAAAAGGCCTCTGTACGTTAAGATGTGACCATAAAAAGATGCTATCGAGAGCACCCATTGATGCTTTGGGAAGGCCTAGGCTTTGGTTTCCTCTCACAGAGAGGCGTTCAGGTGATGTAGAATTTCCGTGAGGAACAGAAGTCTCACCAGTCGCCCTGAGGCTGACATCCATGAAGCCAGCCTCACACTCGCCCTGGCTAAGCGAACAAGCCTGACTCTGCTCCACGAGGGTGCTCGGAGCAGCAGGCTGCCAGAGGCTTTGCACAGAGTGTGAGTGTAGTGTGTGCATGTGGTGTGTGAGTGTAAGTGCAATGTGGTGTGTGTTGGGCAAGGGAAAGAATCCCGGCCCTAGATCCTGGATCTAAGAGAGCCCCTAGAACCCCAGTGGTGACTCATTTTTGCAGGGCAAATCCCTTATTTAACTATAATATTCAGAACTTGCTCTGTGCCCTTATTTCCAGCAGAATGTCCTACTACGTACCTTCCAGTAGCCCTGCCTCCATGTGTAGGATTTGGGGGCTGTGCTTAAAACTTAACCTGTGTGATTTCTCTTCTGTCGGATCCAGGAACTGCCATCTCATTCCTGTCCCTGGTTAGACAGAACTCAAGAGCCTTGGCATTTGCTGCTGCTGTCCAAGCAACCTCCAGTCTTCATGCAGAACAGAAGGCAAGACGTGCCAGCACTGGAATTTCCAGCTGTGAGTGCACCCACCATTGGTCCCTGTAAAGCACTGATACTGACGCCAAGACTGAGATGGACATGTGTGAGTGTGGATAGTAAAGTGAATACCGATATGGACACTGATTCCAGTGAGGCTCCCTGCTCCCGCTGGATACTGCTAAAGCCGAGAGGCCTCAAGTATCAACAGCTCCCAAGCTGTGGGTTCTGCTGCAGCCACTCACTCAGCCTCTGCCAGCTTTCCATTCCTTGTCTTGGCAAGTGGAGCCAGTGCACCTGCTTGTCTTTCTCACCCAGCGATGTTGAGGAATCGAGGAGATGCTGGATATGGACAAACTGGAAAGTGTCTCAGAAAATGGTAGCTCTTACTCTTATGGTTATTGTTGTCCATCAAGCAAGGGCTTCTATTCAGGGGGCCTCTCCTTTGGGCTTGCACTGACCCTCCCGACTTCTCTTGGGTGGCAGTGCGGGCAAACTTCCACATGTGTCCCACGGGGACGAGGGCTCACAAAACAGGAACTGAGCTATAACTAGGGTACCCCAGGAATTTCCCGAATCTCTGTCAAGCACTGGCAGGTGTGGGCATCTCAGAGCAGAGGGTGGAAAGGGTCCTTAGGGAACAGTGATGGAATGGAAGCCTGAAGGGAGAGCAGAGCTGGGGGTGACTCTGCGCAGCGGCTGGTGGCAGTCAGCGGGGCCATCAGGCGTGAGGAGCTGGGCTTTGCTCCTGAGGAGGCAGTGCCTTGAGGTATCGCTGGGGGCAGTGGAGGACCCTTGCACGTGGGCAGGGGAAGCCAGTGAATGGACCGCAGAAGTAGCCACTCCTGTGTGGCACCTTGTCAGCCTGGCGCAGGGATTGTTTGCCCATGTGGGGGTGCCAGTGAGGATGGAAATTTGGGGATGAGAGGTTCAAGGTGCCTTGTCTTGTTCCTCAGGGCTGTTACCTGACTGGCTGGCAAGGGTGAGGGGAAATAGGTGGCGAGCATCTCTTCCCTGAGCATCTCTGAATGAAGGGGTAGCCCCTTTGGGTTGGCCTCCAGGTGTGCCTAACTCAACGCCCAGGGTAAGCTTCCCTTACTTTGCAGGTAGGCTCTTAAAGGAGTAGTATATTTTCTCCTTTCAGCTGAAGTTGGATAAAAAGCAATTCTTCAGGTTTTTTTTTTTAAATAGGCTTATAAAAAAGAACTGCTTCTCTGCAAATCTCTGTTAGAAAAATCTTTTGAGCTTTATTTGTCCAGGAGCCTGGTTGAATTTCCCCGCAGTGTTCTAGAATCTGCTGCCCAAGGGCCCCCTTCATCGGTGACAGAGGGCAAGGTAACTCCTGAGGGCTCAGAGGTCTGCAGGTCACGGGGTAGAGCCTGTGTCAGCTTGTAAACCCGAAGAAGCTTTCCCACCTCGCCCTCTACAAGAGCCCCTCTAACTTTCCAAACCCAGGAACACTAGAAATGTGCTCTCAGTGAACCAAAGCCTGCCTCTCCCATGATGTAACAAAGCCAGAGAGAGGGCTCTTCTGTCACATGGCTTTAAGGCACGCCTTTAAAAAATTAGCAAAGAATAAATCGATGCCTCCTTCGCTTCTCATCTCCCACAGACATCAAAATTTGTTCAGAGAGGAGGAACTACAAAAGCTTTTATTTAGAATCTTAAAAACATAATAGATGCTGATACTTCAAAGACAAATCCCTGTTTTTAAATGCGTTCATGTCCCTCATCTTTTGTCTCCTCGGGATCACTTTGGGTTGTGTGGCAGAGCTGAGGAAAGACAGGCAAAAGGTTTAAATAGGTTGTCCAGGTCTGATGGTAGCTACGTGGGGAAAGCAAAGGTCCAGTCCATAACTCGAGACTCCAGGGCCATCCCACCACACTGCCTCCAGGGGATTCGAGTTGGGTTGTGTGTCTGGGGTCCCTTTACCTTCTGAGCAATGGAAAAAGCATGGTCTGTTGGAAGCCAGTCTGGTGGGTCTCTCGTCCCCTACCAGAGTCTCCTGGGGGTGAGCAGCCCATAGCTTACACCACTGAGTAATGCACTCTTTGCCTTGAAGACACGGTGCAGGCTTCAAGCCCACTGTGTGGAGCAGGGTGCAGTGAGGTGAAACTGTAGGAAAAATGTGGAGGCTGCATGCTGGGGACCTGGTATCCAGGAAACGGTAGTGATGACCAACAGCAGGTCACAGAAGCAAAGCTGTAAAAACTGTAAACCTATGTTATTATGAAAAATCCTAAAACCACATTCCAAATCTTAGCCTGGCAATGATATACCTTCAGTATTGATGCTATGAAGGCTCCCTTTGCTCCCCTTGTTCTGTAGAGCATTTATGAGGCCATAATATAACAACTTATCTTTCTGGAAGCATTGTTTCACCACTCCCCCCCGACACGCTGACTTACAGTTTGCTGAAGATTAGTTTCACACCTTCTCGTGTCATAGTTAATCAATTATTGTTCCTCTTTCTCCTACACCCTTTGCCCTTTGATAGCAGGGTCCTGGTCCATGTTATCCACATCCTTCTAATGCCTAAAAGAGTCGCCTGTGAGCAGCAGGTGTAATAAATGTTTCTTAATAGAATGGAGCACCCAGATAATTGTCTGGAACCGTGATGCTGGCTTGGCCTGAGCTGGCATGTGACGTTTTCGCTGCAGTACAGTAGTGCCCCCTTGTCCATGGTTTCACCTTCCGCGGTTTCAGTTACGTCCCATAACATTAAAAGGAAAATTCCAGAAATAAACAACTCATGAGTTTTAAATTGCATGCTGCTCTGAGTCGTGTGATGAAATTTCTCGCCATCCTTCTCCCTCCTGCCGGGAACATGAGTCATCCCTTTGTCAAGCAGGTCCACGCTGTATTTGGCCTCACCCGTTAGTCACTTAGTAATTGTCTGGGATATCAGATCAGCTGTTTCAGTATCACTGTGCTCACCCTTATTTTACTTCACAACAGCCTCAGATTGCAAGAGTAATGATGCTGGCGACTCAGATGTGCCAAAGAAAAGTCATGAAGTGCTTCCTTTCATTGAAAAGGTGAGTACAGTAAAGTAGGATATTTTGAAAGAGAGAGGCCATATCCACATAACTTCTATTACAGCGTATTGTTATAATTGTCCTATTTTATTATTGTTGTTAATCACTTACTGTCTCTAATTTACAACTTTAACTTTGTTATAGGTAGGTACATATAGGAAAAACACAGAGCATATAGAGAGTTCACAACTATCTGAGGTTTCAGGCGTCGGCTGGGGTCTTGGAACATCTCCCCCCGGAAGGATCCCCCATGGGGGCTACTGTATTTTTCGTCAGATGTAAAACATGGGTTTGCAAATGACTCCTCAAAAACAAACCAAGATCTATAACAAGATCCTTTCAATGCTGTTACTTTTAGCTCTCAGTTCCACTCTTGAGAGTGTATTTAGAAAATAATCTGAAATACAAAGAGGTGTTTCTGCATGGAAAGCTCACCGGAGTGTTATCTGGAATAGTGAGAAAGGGGAATGACCCACATGTCCAACACTATTGAAGGGATTACATAGAGTGATGGCTTATCCAGTTGGTAAACTACTAGGCAGCCATTTAAATGATGTTTATTAAGACTTTTAGCAGCCCAGGAAAATGTTTAGGATATAATATTATATGATGAAACAAGAATTCGAAACTATGGATGAAATCTGATGTAAGATTATCTCCATCGTGAGAACTGGGCATGGAAAAATTACACGGGAAAATGAAAATTTTCAAATTGATGTCTCTAAGAGGAGAAATTTTCAGTAATGGTTACTGCCACAGACTGAATGTCTGTGTTGCTCTGCACCACCTCCTGCCCTCAATTCAGGCGTTGGAACTTCATCCTCCATGTGATGGTGTCTGAAGAGGAGGACTTAGGGAGGTGCTGAGGTCCTGAAACCCTCACAAACGGCCCTGCAGAGAGATCCCTTGCCTCTTAAGCCCTGTTAGGAGACAGCAAAAGGCCAGCTGTCTAGCAAGCAGGAAGCAGGCCTCCCCGTATGCCACATCTGCTGGTGCCTTGGTCTTGAACTGCCCTGGCGGAGCCGGGAGAATACATTTCTGTTGTTTATAAGCCACCCTGTCTGTGGCATTTTGTCATAGCAGCCCAAACGGACTAAGGCAGTGACTTTCTTCCTTATGTGTTTCTGTGTATATGGATTTTAAAAACCAAAACTAAAATAAACCCTCAAAAATCAACACATAAAATGTTACCTCTCAAAGTAATGAAAGTGACATAAATCAAGCCAGAAAACATATACCCCAAAATTTATTACCAATTATCATGAAAAAGACAGGAGAAACAGAAAGAAAAATGGGCAAAAGTATACGAATAGATAACTCACAGGGGAGAGAACCACCTGGCTGATAAACACCCACGAGCGTCCTCACCCTCATTAGTGGAGGAAATGCCAATTAAAAGAACAAAGTGATAACCAGTTTTACTTAATAATGGGAAAAACCTAAAAGGAGTTCTCCAACTTTCCTTCATGATCCTTGGGAAGGTAGAATGATTGGCATGTGTGTGGGGGTGGGTGGGTTGCTCGTCTGTGGGAGGTGTCACATGGGGAATCAGTCCTCCAGAATCAAAAGATCTTTATGTTATAAATTCTGTGAGAAACTCTGAATATTGTATGTAACCTTCTTATTTTTTTTGGATGTAACAATTTTTATTTATTTTTTATTTTTTAAAGTTAATTTGTTTTTATTGTATTTTTTCCATTACCATTTAGTGCCCTTCTAACCCCCTGCCCCGGCAGTCACCACACTGTGGTCCATGTCCACAAGTCCTTCTTCCTTTTCACTCAATCCCTCCATCCCATATCCTCCCCCACAATAGCTGTCATCCTGCTCTCTGTCTATGAGTCTCTCTCTCTCTATTTTGCTTGTTAGTTCAGTTTGTTCATTAGATTCCACATGTGGGTGAAATCATATGGCATTTACTTTTAAAATGCGTAGCGCCTGTCTGGGTTCTCTGGGAAGCAGACTCTGAGACAGAGACCAGCATGTGGGGCGTTTACTGGGAACGTCCTTGGGTTGGGAGCAGGATGCAGCAGAGAGAGGTCTTGCTGCCACGGAGTCAGTCGCAAGGGAAGCTGCATCGGTAACCCTGCAGGCAGTTTTGAAGATGGATGGCCCTTCAGAACTGTCCCGAGTGGAGATAAGAGAGCCGGGAATTTACGCCTCTGTATCAACTAGGACTGTGACACGACCTTGGGGAAGGGACTCTTTGTTCAGCTGGGGCAATTCCTGAGCATCTGCCTGGGGAGGGCTGTCCTGCGTGTCACTCCCAGCAGCTGAGCGAAGAGGGCTTCAGTCCTGAAGAAGGATTTGTGGGGTATATCACAGTGTCCACCACAAAATTTGTATTCAAGTGGTTCTTTATCAAAAAGAGAGTTTATTTCTTTAAAAGAAGTTTTAGGTCCACAGCGAAACTGAGGAGAAGGTATAGAGGTTTCCTACACACCTCCAGCAGCCCCTGTGCCTAGCCCGCCCCATCAGCAAGGCCCCCATCAGCAGTGCACTTGCTGCAGTCAGCAGACCTACATGGCCGCCTGGAAACCACGCACAGTCTACAGTTTACACAAGCTTTACTCTTGGTGCCATGTGTTCTGTGGGTTCGGACAGAAGGATAATGATCCTGGAATCTGATGTGATGAGGGCCGAGGTCAAGAGGTAACCCAATCTATTATTTTCCCTGAATGCATATTCTTTAGAAAACAGCAAAAGTCACAATAAAAAGAGACTGCTGGTGAAGACATGGCAAGACTGACCTTTTCATATTTTTGCATTTGGGCAGGTAGAGTTCTAATTTTGGAAAGTAACTTGGTCATACTTATTCTTAAAAGAACACATCCCCATTTTCAAGCAATGCCTTTTTGGTACGTGTTTCCTTCAAATATAAAAGACCTGTTTGTAAGACCACATCTACAAAGGTGTTTAATGCAGGAATGTGTGCAGTGGCCCAAACAAAAGTCAAACAAATAAACCAAAAAGCACCAGAAGGTAATTTGAATATCTATTAAACTGGAAACAATGGAATAAGTTATGCCCTATGGACAACTATTTAAAATAACTAGATTGATACTCATGACCTGGAGGAATACTCATCATATGTGTGAAATGGAAAACACAAGACACAAAGTAGCATGTGTAGATAATCGTACTTTTCAGGAAATAAACCCACCTTCCCTCTGTGTTTAAGGAAGGATGTATATCAACGTTTGCTTCAGTTATTACAATGAACGTGAATCAC